ATGTGGCCGGAACCAAAGTTTACAGGACTGCGTTCTCTGGGATTCTCTCAAACGGAGCACTTCTACATTCCGATTGTTTGCCGCTGAACCTACCCTATCTCACGACCAATTCGTACGAATTCGAATTCGTGATAGTGATTCAAAAGTGACTAATTCATACGACCTCACTTGTACAAATTTGTACGATTTGTCTAAACCCACGTGACGTTATGTTTAGGGGCGGGGTCAGGGGTAGGTCATTCGTACGAATTCATACGAATTGGCTAATTCGTAAAATATGTACGATTTAGCAAAATCACTCAAACGAATTGTTACGAATTAGTCACCTCGTAAAATTCGTTGAAAATTGGCTGAACCGCGTCATTGCTTATTACCATGAAGTTCGAGTGATTTCAACTCGTCTCGCCGTCCGAAACGTGCCGCGCCGCAAATGAATGACTTCCGGCCACTTTGACGCTCTCGCCGGCGGCATGTCTCTCCCTCGCGCATATTAATCAAATCAATTGACAGGAAAGTAACAGGTCGGAAGACCACAGTTTCACGTGGAGCATTTGGAGATTTTTAGAGATTAGAGAAAGGCCCTGTCTCCATTATGGGCCCATGGTTTCCATGTCAGGCTCCAGTGGGCTTCTGTCTATATGGCTTTCGTGAGCCTCCACTGCAACCGTTAATGAGCCTTCAATTCAGGTTTATGACATTGACTATATTTCCCTGGCTGTATAATATTTGGCTTTATCACAGAATTGCCCCCACTAGCTAAACAATGACAAATGAAAGTCTAATATCACTCAGTGCTCTTGGAGATTTTAGCATGACGTTGACCTTGTTGAACCAGCAAACAAACTCCATCCTGAAGTCAGCATGAAATCAAATTGTTTTCATTGATTTGGACTCATGTAAACTTGTATTTTTAAGTAAGGTTGTTAGCATACCACAGCAAAGACTACTAGCCTTATATGCAACATTTAACCAAGATAAAATAAGAACAAATAAACAGAATACAAGCAATAGCACAAATAATTACAATAGAGCATAGATGTAAATGAAATAAACAATGGTTAATGTTTTTCAGGTTGGTCTAACAGTAGTATTCAATTATGAAATACTACAGAAATTGAATTTATAGTATTCGCTATACAAAATAATCTTACAAAAGTTATTCAACTACTTCCATTTTAAAGCTACAAAAGTTGTTCAGGCATAATCAGGGAGTCTTTTTTTGTTGTTGTTGATTAGCATGAAAATTAGACGGCAGCATAAATATTAGGCTCCTGTCACTTTAAGACCGAATTCATGAATCTAATACTGAGACATCCATAACCGACTTAAGACAGACCGACTGTGTTATTTGCCGTAAGATGTTAGATCGACTGTGTTATATTTTTCCCTGATAGTTCAGGTTTAATTATGTCATAATTTAGCCTTACATCACAATTTTTGGTTTCAGTAACATGCGGCGACGAACTGTGTATTACTAATACACTAAATTGGATCAATTTCGATCCCATTTTTTACTTTAAATAGAAGCTCACTGTGATTATCTCCCATCTCGTAACTCATTTGACCATTCACTAACAGGTCACTAAACCCCTCTTAGAATCAACAATGTGACAAGAAGGGCAATCTCTCTATCTTTTCTGATGACTAAGTACACTCAAAGGAAGCCTTGTGACTGTATGAATGAAACCATGTTACTGCTCATTTAATCATTTCCATAGAATGGGCATTGGGGGTCAAACCTGGTTGGTTTTTAATAGTGTTGTATAAGTGAACTACACCCCGCATAGGGAAGGAAGGGAAGATAAAGCGGCCCCATTTCATAATCAATTATTAACAACATATAATCACTCACAGTCTAGTGGCTACAACTGAGACAGAAGCTCATCACAAAAGCTTGAAGTCAATCAGAAACCCACTGAACAAAATTATTATCTACGTTTACATGCAACCAAATAGGCCGTTTGTAATCGGATTGACAACTCAATCGGACTCAAGCCTTCATGTAAACACCTTAAAGGGACACTTAAGCTTTGTACAAGTAAAAACCTGTAGTATTTTCGAATTACCGCGCTTTCCACCCTCATATCCCCCTGAGACGAGAGATTTATGTATTTTTTTGTCTGGAAAAAATCCTCAGATAACGCAAAAATTGCCTGTCCCGCATGTCCTCAACCTGCCCATAGAGGGCGATCTCACTCACAGAATGAACACATAGTGTCGCCATCTTTTTTTGGAAGCTAAGCTAGCATGCTTTTGTAAAACTGAACTGTTTAAAGGAGCATTTCACCCATTTTAACATTAATCTTTATTAAAAATGGTTCATATATGTAGTCGAAATGTTGAATTTGGTCCCCTCTTGACTGAGAAAATAACCGATGGGTGCATTTGTATGAAAGACTACAACACCCATAATGCACCATATAGCACAGCTCGGCAAGCCACACCCACTAATCTGGAACTGCGCTGAAGAAATCATTCTTTCGTCAACAAGGCTAACGTTATCTGCCACCAGAGTTTGAAATTCATTTCACGCAAAATTTCTAGTTTTTTCTCTGTAATTTCAATGAAATGTGACTTCCAGCTTATTATGACGCAAAATGACTATTTTTACGTCATAATAAGCAGGAAGTAAAACACCCATCTCAGGGGAAAATAACGGAATAAACCATGACCATTCAAAAATATGACTGCGTTTCTAAAGATATAAAGCTTAATGCAAATGGGTGAAGTGACCCTTTAACTCTGAGGGAGTTGTAAAATGAGCCTATTTCCCCCAAAAAAGTGGAGTATCCCTTTAATATCAGGTGTAAACGGGTTTTGTTCTACACAAAATGATAAAGAAAGAAAGAAACACATGAGTTTGCTGACGAGGGGTTAGTAAATGAGAATCAACAGTGTCTCCACAGTGTATGGTGGCGGCAAATATAAATCAGAAGACAAATATTTCTCTAAAGAGATCTCATCTACTCTAATTAAAACAAGCGTGTATCAAGAGCAATACTGCTGATTGTTATCAGCACTCTTCAGGAGCGTGGTGCTTTGTGGCAGGAGCTGTAAGCTCTCCGTGTATTTATGCGGCATTGCTATCAATACCAGCCTCCTACACACACTCCCGTTTGCCTTTACTGTACCTGAGCAGCAAATGCAAATCTCAGCCACTGGCCAGATAGCCTTCCCACTCTGTTCACTTCAATGCATTCACTCTTCATAATCACACTCGCTTCAGTTCAACCACTCCAGAGACGGGGTCTAGAGCAGCTGTTACTGTGGTTTAATATCTGCCTCGCCTTACGTTACTGTAAGGCTCAATTATGGGCATGTTAGGCTGTACTGGCTTTATCTCAGATTGAAAGAGCACCATGTCAATTTGGGCAATCAATCGGCCCACATTAGCCTGTTTTGAGTTTATTGGCTGGTAATTGTGAATTTCTGTTTGTTTGGTTTCATTTCAGAAATAAAAAGAGCACTTATTCCAGCACCACACAAACAAACTACATGAATTAAATTATCTACATTATATACATTATGTATATAATATGACCCATGGCCACCCTGATCTCTAGACAGTTCTAGGGTGGTCCATAAAATAAATATTAATTTTAAATGAAAACATGAAATGAAAGGGAATTATTAACAGGTTTTTTTTTTTTTTTGTTATAATAAAAAATAAAATAAATGTTACATTAAATAAAATAAAATTTTAAATATAAATCCAAATGTAATATAATTTACAATTAATTCAAATAAAATAAAATGTTAAACTAAATTAAAATAAAAATATTACATTTTATTGATGAAAAAATGTATTCAATTAAAATATATTTTTTAAAATTCATATTAAATTACACTCAGGACTGCAGACTAACATTTGAGAGCATTAGCACCGGTGCCGCTAAGATCCAAAGATGGGGGCACTAGCACTAGCATTTTTAATCATAAAGGTAATTAATCATGATTTAACTATTGTTTTACATTAATAAGTGCAGTAACTAATAATATTACGTCTATTTCTCGGAAATGCACATTTGACAGTAAAGCACTGAACAATAAGCTAAAACATGTAAAAAAAAAACACATTTTTATACAGAAAACTTAAAAATATGTTAAATTTATATTTTATCACATTAAAAATAACATTTAATGTTACATTTTTAAATAATTTCCATGAAACTCTGTTGACTGTCTTTGTTCTGAAAAGTTATATACTATAAAAAATAAAGTTAAAAAAAGAAACATTTGAAGTGCTTGAATTTCACTCTTAATAGGTTGTACAAACCCTGATTATTGACACAATGCCATGATTACAGTTAGCGTAACTACATTAAATCCATGGCGAGTTGGTGATTTGTGGACTGAAACGTCTTTCATAACTCAATGTTTCTCCTGGTTTCCAGATCAACTCTGATATGGTTAATAACAGAGAAGTCTGTTCCTCATTGGATTCACAGCAGTATTAATAACATTACTGCAAGATCTAAACACTTGATCACCCAGCGCTGTGTAGTAACAGTGTCATGTGATCCGGATCGGTCCACGAGTAAAACTGTCGTGAGCTCGCCATGTGCGATGCGCTTATTAAATAATAAAGTATGCAAATAATAAAACTGGTACAGGCACTTAAAGTCTCAATGATTACTCAATTACTCGATTTTCAGAGTGAAACCTGTGTGTCATGCTCTTCTAGATATCGACCGATAGTCTGGATGCAAGTACTGTGCATTTTCTCGGAATTTACCAATCCTGGTGTGCGCCTTTGATATTTTGAAGATGTTGTCGATGATATTATCCATTTTGTTGTGGTCAACTAATGGTTTCGTCTCTTCGGTTTCCTTTCCAAAGTGAAAAGAAGAGAGGAAAGTGCTATTGATTTTTATTGTATTCATTGATTGTCCCAAATGATATTTACTCGTTTTCTCTCTCTCTCTCTCTGTGAGTGTGTGCTTAACCCCACCTTTTCAAAGCCCTTAGTCACTGTGTTTCGTGTTGGTCTCTATTCACAGAGAAAGACTACAACAGCCTTTGCGAGAGGCAACCAATCGGCTGCTTTCTGTTCCGTCAGTTCTGTGACACCAGGCCGGAGTTGAGGCGCTGTGTCAAGTTTTTGGACGCTGTGGTGAGAAGCAGACCGCTAATTATTCTTCACTTCAAAGACAAAATGTGTTTGTTTCCCTTTCATCTGCAAACCAACCTAACTTACGTACAGTGAAATGTACAGCAACTCCAGGAATAACGTTTGTCCCGATCGTTCCCCTAATATACTGAGGTCAGTGTGTGTTTAGGTGCATCTATTTAGGATTTTAAAACTCGCTATGATGGCCATTGCTAAAAGCTACAACTATGGAAAGGTCCGTTCACAGTCACACCAAGGATGATAACTATAAAGTTAATAATCACTCTATAAGAATAATGAAGTCCACACCCCAACAATACATTAACGACACACATAATCATAATCGAAGATAAAAACATTTATAAATATTAGCACTTTTGCACTAAAAATAGACCTGCCCGAAAGTTCGCAAAATATTTTTAAACTTCAGATTTGATAGTTAAAATTTAGTATGTTAATGAATTCCAATAATTCGTGAATACGGCGCACGTTCACGCATAGCATAATTTCTAGCCATGAATTACAACTACATTATTATTTTTATTTTTTGTACTGTAATGTTGTGGGATATTCGGACTCCCTTCCCGGGTTTGGCTCCAATATATTGCAACAAAATGCAAAAGAGACTAATTGGCCATATTCATAAAAAAAAATTATTCAAGTTTGTTGACAAATACTACTTGTGCTAGAATAATAAAAAGGACTTTTTTTCAGTAATTTTTTATTTAACGCCTTCGCGTTGAGAATGGGGGTTAAAATGCACTAGTCAAACTCAAATGGTTTTACTTCAAGAATGCTTTGGAATATATATATCCAAGTTTGGTCTTTTATTAAAGGAAACACTCGGTAGATTATAAAACAATTAAAAATTAAAGTATGAAAAAGTTATGGAAGTTTAAATTTACATTAAATCAAATATACTGTACTATATATTTATTTTATTTTGCTTTTTAAATAATTTTTTACTCTAAAATTACTATAAAATCAAAGCCATAAATCTAACCAAGTTATGTTCCAAATTTGAAGTTGATATCACAAAAATTGAAGTTCCCATGAGATTTTGTTTAGGCGCAGTACCAAAAATAGCCACCGGGTGCCATTGAATTCCATTGAATTTAGTTGTATACATTCTGCCTTAAGATTTAAGATCCGTTATTATAAAGCTGGGCTTGGAGATATAATTACATTGCAACAGAGTACCAGACCTTCCCCATTTAAAACTACTGATTTGAGATCAGTTCTGCATTCGAAAAAATCCTGAGTTATTAGGCAAATCTTCTCTTCATAAATATTTTGCTGTGACATGCCGTTTCAGATATGGAATGCAGACTATTACTAAGCTTCAACATAAACATCAGAACATACATGTGCACACCCGCATGAAAAACTTGCTAGTGTTTGCTCCACAAAGACCTTGATACTGCATGTTCAGTAGAGAAACTGTTATTTTGTAAATAAACAGACCAGTAAATCTAAAACCAGATTGTACACATTTCTGAAGTAAATCCGAATTCTCTGCCAGCGGTCCAAATCAAAAAAATGGCCCAATATTTCAATATTTACATGATTCTCAGAGACTGAGGCCTCAGGAAGTTGCATGTAGGAAATGATCAAGACAAGTAAATGATTGGGATGCATTTTAGTAAAGTGGAAAGGCCTTGTAAAAATGTCCCCTCATATACAGAAGTTTACGCTGCAATTTAATCTTTGATATGGTACTGTATTTGTCATGATGATTTGGGATAAAATCCTCAGAAATAACTATTTTACAGCTTTTCTTAGGTTTACAAATTTAAAATGTACAATATTGGCTCTTTTTGTTTTGGGTTTGTTTTTTATTGTTGTTGGTTTGTTTTGTGTTGTGTTTTTTTCTTGGGTTTTATTTAGTTTGTTGCTTTTGGATTTTTTGCTGTTTTTTGTCGAGTTTTGTCTTGGGTTTTATTTAGTTTGTTGCTTTGTTTGGGTTTTTGTGTTGTTTTTTGTCGAGTTTTGGGTTTGTTTTTTGTTTTTTTATCGTTTTTTTTTTTTTTTGGGGGGGGGGGGTTTTGTGTTGTTTTGTCTTTGGTTTTATTGTGTTTTTTCTTTTGTTTGGGCTTTTGTTTTGTCTTGGGTTTTATTTAGTTTGTTGCTTTGTTTGGGATTTTGTGTTGTTTTTTGTCGAGTTTTGGGTTTGTTTTTTTATCGTTTTTTTTTGGGGGGGGGGGGGTGTTTTGTGTTGTTTTGTCTTTGGTTTTATTGTGTTTTTTTGTTTTGGGCTTTTGTTTTGTCTTGGGTTTTATTTAGTTTGTTGCATTGTTTTGGATTGTGTGTTGTTTTTTTGTCGAGTTTTGGGTTTGTTTTTGTTTTTTATTGTTGTTTTTTTGGAGGGGGGGTTATTGTGCTTTTTGCTTTATTTGGGATTTTGTTTTGGGTTTTATTTAGTTTGTTGCTTTGGATTTTGTGTTGTTTTTTGTCGAGTTTTGGGTTTGTTTGTTTTTTTATTGTTGTTTTTTTTTTGGGGGGGTGTACTTTTTGTTTTGTCTTGGGTTTTATTTAGTTTGTTGCTTTGTTTTGGATTGTGTTGTTTTTTGTCGAGCTTTGGGTTTGTTTTTGTTTTTTATTTTAGTTTTTTTTTGGGGGGGGTTATTGTGCTTTTGGTTTTGTTTGGGATTTTGTTTTGGGTTTTATTTAGTTTGTTGATTTGGATTTTGTGTTGTTTTTTGTCGAGTTTTGGGTTTGTTTGTTTTTTTATTGTTGTTTTTTTTTGGGGGGGGGTGTACTTTTTGTTTTGTCTTGGGTTTTATTTAGTTTGTTGCTTTGGATTTTGTGTTGTTTTTTGTTGAGTTTTGGGTTTGTTTGTTTTTTATTTATTTTTTTTATTTTTTTTGGGGGGGGGGGGGTTATTGTGCTTTTGGTTTTGTTTGGGATTTTGTTTAGGGTTTTATTTAGTTTGTTGCTTTGTTTTGGATTTTGGGTTGTTTTTTGTCGAGTTTTTTTTTAGGTTTGTTTTTGTTTTTTATTGGGGTTTTTTTGGGGGGGGGGGGGTGTTTTGTATTTTTGTCTTGGGTTTTATTGTGTTTTTTGTTTTGTTTGGGCTTTTGTTTCATCTTGGGTTTTATTTAGTTTGTTGCTTTTTTTAGATTTTGTTGTCTCTGTTGTCTTGGGTTTTGTTTAATGCTTTGTTTTGTTTTCAAATCCATGCCTCTGTAAATTACAAAGTAAAACCGAACTGAAATTGAACCTGTATTGAGTGATGATAATGCAAAATCATACGTGTATAAATAATGAAGAATGTAGATATTAAAAAATATGACATGTGACATGCCAGTTACTTGTTATATGTTAATGTTTCTCCATAATTTCAGGTGGAGTATGAAGTAGCGCCAGATGAGAAGAGGAAGGAATGTGGACAGGAACTTCTAGACACGTACCTCAACCCAAAGGTATGGAGAACAGTAGCACAGGGAACACCTCCAAATATATTCATTTAATGTATGGCGTTTATCACGATTTCAAAGTGTGTGTTTTGTTTTTTAGTTGATTTTAATGACAAGTGAATTTACCCTTTGTTTATCGTATAATTCATGCATCTAAAAGGACAGTTTCACGCACTGATTGTTCCATTTGCAGTCAGAGGACTACATCCCTGAGGTCACAGAGGAGATGGTGACTAAGTGTGCAGAACGCTTGCAACAGGAGGCATGTAAAGAGCTCTTCATGGAGTGTACCAAGTGAGGAAACACACTTATTATCCCATTAGGCAGCACTGGTTGATGCAACTACACTGACACTGTCTGACAAACACAAGGCGTCTGAGCAACACATTTCTGAGTTCATATTAAAGGGATAGTTCACTTTGAAATTAATTTTTGGTATGTTTTATCTTACCTCAAGGGCATCCAAGATGTAGGTGTCTTTGTTTCCGCAGTAGTTTCAATTTTGATATTTTTAGGTCAAAGCGTTCTTGTCTGTCAGTCATATAATGGAGGTCTATGGTCACCACCTCAAAAAGCAGCACAGAGAAGTCCAAATTAAACATGATTTAATGACTCGTAAATGTAAGTACACACTGATGGCCTAAGACACAAAACGAGCGGTTTGTGTGAGAAAACGAACAGTATTTATATCGTTTTTACCTCTTGTAATTACTATAATTGTAATTCCAAGTGATCTGAGGGCGCAGGCGCTTCGGTCTGGATTTTGTGTTGCCGCTCAAGGCCATCAATGTGTACTTACATTTACGAGTCATTATATCATGTTTAATTTGGACTTCTCTGTGCATGCTCTTTGAGGTGGTGACCATAGACCTCCATTATATGACTGACAGACAAAATATCAAAATTGAAACTACTGCGGAAACAAAGACACCTACATCTCGGATGCCCTTGAGGTAAGATAAAACACACCAAAAATTAATTTCAAACTGAGCTATCCCTTTAATTTCAGACCCTGATTATTGATGTTGAAGTTTTCCTACCTATTTGGTAAAAGTGAAGACGAGCCTTTTTTTCTCTGTATTCTCTAGTCAGGTAGCACTGATTTATAATAAAAACGTCTTTCTGCTGCAAAATGGACTTTCATTTATCGAAAGTCCGTTTTGCAAGCGGGAATGCACCCCTGTAATGAAATCAGGATGCGCGAGCGAGAGCGTTTCTTCACTGTGCCGTCGAGTAACTCTTTCTCTCAATGTTCTCTTGTAGACTGATCCATGACTACCTGAGCGTGGCCCCCTTCGCAGACTACCTCGATAGTATGTACTACAGTCGCTTCTTACAGTGGAAATGGCTGGAGAGGTATAAACAGCACCTCGGCACGTTTCGAACTTTTGTTTATAATGTTAAAATGTGAGAAATTATATATAGCTAAGAAGTTTTTCTTCAGCGCCAAGTAGAGTCTAATTATTCCTTTGAGTGCCATGATTTATTTATGAAGCTAAGCTTATAGAAGCCAGATGTGAACTCTGAACTTGCTATTTATTTACTTTTAGTCATAAAAATGTCCTCTGACTGAAAGTCTAAGGCAGGCCTGGACTGTTCCCATCAAGACATTTTACAGAGAAGAATATGATATGCCAGAACACTGTCATGTGCCTGGTACAGTCAATTAGATTAATGCCGTGCGTTTTAACACTGTCTCTAGAGATATAAGTTTTGTTGTAAAGACAACAGGACTGTAAAAGTATGTTATAATTAAATAAAACTGGGTCACGTTCGTTCTTCTGAAACGTAACTGTTGTTTATTATTCTCTTCCTCTCCTTGACAGACAGCCAATCACAAAAAACACATTCCGTCAGTATAGGGTTTTGGGAAAGGGAGGCTTTGGTGAGGTGAGTCTGAAATATTGCTGTTTATTGCAGAAATATATATCAGGGTGTTATTAATTATTATCTGGAATGCCACTAAATCAAACGCTATCGGTCCATTCCAAGGTTCATAACGCTAATATCCTATTTTTGTTACACGATCAGACTATCAATCCTTCAGATGATCATACACACACTGCCAGTTAATGTTGGCAGATATAGAGAAAGCAAGTCTCTAATTCTAATGTCAGATATCTAATCACATTGAGTGTTTGTATTGCCCTCCGCTGCCCTGAGGAAGCTTCTTTTGGATAAATCCCTACGAGGAACGTCTAAAAAAGCTTCTTTTTTTAATTGTAACATTAGTTTTGTTTATTGAAATATTTTTCTACATGTTAGTAAATGTTGTATTGACTACTATTTTTTTAATATGATACTTATTATAGTACTTTATATTGAGAACTGCTACAAAAACTTGAAGAAAATTAAGATTTTAAGGGAAAATCTGCTTAAATTACCTTGTTAAAGCCTTTCATATGAAATAATACTCATTTCTTTTTAATTGAACCTTTGGACTATATATAAAACAAGTTTAAATGTGTAATTTTTGTTAGTATTATATTTGATACCTTATAGGCTTTTATGGCTCATATAGTATTATATAGTATAGTAGAGAATATAATCTATAGTAGGCTAGATTATAGTACAGAAGTAATATTTGGCGAAATGAAAAAAGCTATTTTTTGCATTTTAACATTAGTTTTATTTATTGAAATATTTTCAACATGTTAGTAAATGTTGAATTGACTACTATTTTTTTTTAATATGGTACTTTTTTAATAGTTATTATAGTACTTTATATTGAGAACTGCTACAAAAACTTTAAGAAAGATTTTAAGGAAAAAATCTGTTTAAATTACCTTGTTAAAGCCAAGATAAAGCCTTGTTAAACCTTGTTAAATTACCTTGTTAAAGCCATGCATATGAAATAATACTCATTTCTTTTTAATTGAACAGTTTATTGAACCTTTATATATATATATATATATATATATATATATAAAACAAGTTTAAATATGTAATTTTTGTTAGTATCATATTTGATACCTTATAGGCTTTTGTGGCTCATAAAGTATATTATATAGCATAGTAGAGAATATAATTTTTAGTAGATTATAGATCAGAAGTAATATTTGACAGAATAAAAAAAAGCTATTTTTTGCATTCTAACATTAGTTTTATTTATTGAAATATTTTTCAACATCGTAGTAAATGTTGTATTGACTTATGCTTTTTTAATATGGTACTTTTTTATACTTATTATAGTAATTTTATACTGAGAACTGCTACAAAAACTTTAAGAAAATTACGATTTTAAGAGAAAAATCATCTTAAATTACCTTGTTAAAGCCAAGTTAAAGCCTTGTTAAACCTTGTTAAATAACCTTGTTAAAGCCATGCATATGAAATAATACTCATTTCTTTTTAATTGAACAGTTTATTGAACCTTTAGAGTATATATATATATATATATATATATATATATATATATAACAAGTTTAAATATGTAATTTTTGTTAGTATCATATTTGATACCTTATAGGCTTTTATGGCTCATAAAGTATGATATTATATAGCATAGTAGAGAATATAATCTTTAGTAGATTATAGATCAGAAGTAATATTTGACAGAATTAAAAAAAAGCTATTTTTTGCATTCTAACATTAGTTTTATTTATTGAAATATTTTTCAACATGGTAGTAAATGTTGTATTGACTTTTTATACTTATTATAGTACTTTATATTGAGAATTGCTACAAAAACTTTAAGAAAGATTTTAAGGGAAAAGTCTGCTTAAATTACCTTGTTAAAGCCTTACATATGAAATAATACTCATTTCTTTTAAATTGAACAGTTTATTGAACCTGTAGACAAAATATATACAGTATATATAAAAAAAACAAGTTTAAAAATGTAATTTTTGTTAGTATCATATTTGATACCATAGGCTTTTATGGCTCATATAGTATGATATTATATAGTATAGGCCTAGTAGAGAATATAATCTATAGTAGATTATAGTACAGAATTTGGAGCTCATACTTGGTCCAAACTAAGCAAAAATACGCAATTTTCAAAATGGCTGATATTTATATGCGCAAAAAGTAGGTCTTTATAACAATATAGCAGACTGCTTAAATATCACTTGTCACTGAAGATCTTTTTTTTTTAAAGATGATATTTAAATGCTTATATCATGATCAAAGCTCTGTAGGTTTAATTGTTCCTCATATTTTAACATGATTTTTCTAAAAAAATAAAATAAAATAATAAAAAAGTTGCTTCATTCTAATAAGTGTTAATCTTGAAATATTACTAACGATGGAAAAGTACTTTGTAAAAATTTCTCAGCAAAAACACACGTGTACCACGACCTGAAGGGGGCGCTTTTAGAATTATACTAAAACCTTGCTAAAAATCTATATATTTTTTTTCAGCAAAGTTTTGATCATTTAGAGGCCTTATAAATTTGCATATTAAACAGAATACGGTACATTCATTTGAGATTCACCCTCTTAATGCAAACCATAACACAAATCAAAGATCACTTTAATGTAACGATTACTCCTCTATCCCTCAAATAGCAGGAAATATCTCTCTGGTTAGAACAAAGTGGCTTATTGTGTTGCTCTTAAACCTCATCATTAACGTAATGCACATAAAAGAGAGAGTTGCTAATAAATGGGCCTCTCACTTCTCCCGCTGTGGGTTTTTCGCCCCCAAGGTCTGTGCATGCCAGGTGCGGGCCACGGGGAAGATGTACGCCTGCAAAAAGCTGGAGAAGAAACGCATCAAAAAGAGGAAAGGAGAGTCCATGGCACTGAACGAGAAGCAGATTCTGGAGAAAGTCAACAGTCGGTTTGTTGTAAGCATCTGTTGTGCTTGTTTAACCCTCTGGGGTTCTTCGGCCCAAATGGACCCGAAGAATTTAAATAAAATTAATAAATTTTAAATCACGGCTTCCTCGGAATGGTCCAAAATTTGGTGACTTTGTTGGTATTTGGTATTTGAACACCCAAAAAAATTGGGGACAGGATGAGAGTAGTCTAAGTGGTTGTAAAAAAAAAAAAATAGTCACACTTGGGGTGTTCGGGTCCAAACGGACCCGCATGGAAAATGAATGGGAAATTGGCAAAAATACTGAGTTTTTTTGTGCGTACAATCTACAAATCAGCCACGATCTTGAAAAAAGCACACAACAGTGAAGGGGTGAATCTATAAAACATCAAGAGTGCAAAACCGACACATCCAGACACACACACACACTTTTATACACAAACACACCAAAAAAAATGTGTTTTGCATTTTTAAAATGCTCAGTTTGTCCACCAGATGGCATCCATCTCATTTCAAAAATTGCTTTTAATGAGGCCTAGGCTTGACTCTAAAATGAAATACAGCTTTAAAAAAAATAAATAAATAAAAAAAATTAATATTTTTTCTATTATGTACAATGGGGGGAAATTTTGTCATAATTATTGCATTAATACTAATTATAAAGGTTTTTTTATTGAAATTTTCTCAAAACACCAAAAAAGAAAAGAAAAAATATTATAAAAAAACGAGTAAAAAAAAAAAAAAAATCATGATTTTTTTTTTTTTTTTTAAATATGAATCCCGCCCTTTGGGTCCACTTGGACCCGAACACCCCGAGTGTGACTCTGAAACGAACAACCCCAGAGGGTTAAATGTGTCACCTCCTCGTTTTCCACACACAAAAACACAACAACATGAAGTTGCTGTAGTTCCAATTTCTGTTTTTGGGCCGATTAGCTCACAGATGTCCTGCTTTCGGGAGTTATTGAGATCCGATGTCGAAAAATTATAGTTACACTGTTGTCTCTATTTAAAGGAGTAGTTCACTTTAAAAAACACTTTTGCTGATAATTTACTCACCCCCGTGTCATCCAAGATGTCCATGTCTGTCTTTCTTCAGTCTAAAAGAAATTAAGGTTTTTGATGAAAACATTCCAGAATTTTCTCCATATAATGGACTTCAATGGGGACCAAACGATTCAAGGTCTAAATGAGAGTTTCAGTGCAAACTGTTCAAAGGGCTTTAAACGATTCCAGACGACGAATAAGGGTCTTATCAAGGACCCTTCGAGTCATGACTCGAAAAAAGATTTGTTCATTTTGAAAACAGGAGAGTCACGAACTCGCATCACAGAACAAAGCAAGGCGAGCATTTGAGCTTATAAAACTTAAACTTTGTTATTTATTTATTAAATGAGCGATCGTTTCCCTTGATAAGACATCTGGAATCGTTTAAAGCCCTTTGAACAGTTTGCACTGAAACTCTCTTTTGGACCCCATTGAAGTCCATTATATGGAGAAAATCCTAGAATGTTTTCATCAAAAACCTTAATTTCTTTTCGACTGAAGAAAGAAAGACATGAACATCTTGGATGACACGGGGGTGAGTAAATTATCAGCAAAATTTTTAAAAAAAAAGTGAACTACTCCTTTAATGTTTACATTCAGAATCCTTCATTTTATTAAACAACAGAAACCGGATAAAAATGTTTTTTTGATGCGGATTCTCAGCGGTCTTTCAAAACCTTAACGTCTGATGGTAACCCCTAGTTTAATGAAATGATGGGGTTTGTGTATCTAAAGGCCTGACCTCGAGCAAGCTGTTTTGTTTGGCTATTATTTGTAATTTCTTCCTACATTTTTAGTTACTTTCCCACGCAGGCTGTATCAAACATGGGAATTGTGTTTTGTTAATGAAATGTACCGTTCTGTTTTCCCATGGAGGTGAGTCTGGCGTACGCGTACGAGACGAAAGACGCCCTGTGTTTGGTGCTCACGCTGATGAACGGAGGAGACCTGAAGTTTCACATCTACCACATGGGAGACGCAGGTTTCGATGAGAAGAGGGCCGTGTTTTACGCTGCCGAGATCTGCTGCGGGTTAGAGGACCTCCATCGGGAGAGGATCGTGTACAGGTGAAAAGATTCAGACTGAATTTTGGTTTGCAAAAAATCTATATTTTAATTAACATGCTTTCTTTGTTCATCTTCTATCAGGGATTTGAAGCCAGAAAATATACTGTTGGACGATCATGGTAAGTCGGCTACTGATGTTTTCTTTGTGATTGCTCAGCAAATTCAACCCTTAAAGTCCCCGTGAAATCAAAATTGAACCTATTTACTTTGTTAGCGCATATTACTAGTCTTGTGGTGAACAATTAATCCGTGCAAGTAAAAATATATTTAAAAAATGTTTTACCTTGGTAATCTTTAATCAAAATCTGAAAAGTTACTTCCGGTCTGGAACGGTTTCTTTTTCTGATGACGTAGGTTTCACAACTTGGGTGGGGAAACGCTTAACCACTCCCCTCAAACCGTTAGTTTGCTATGAGCGAGAGATGGAGAGGAGGAGCGCTAGAGTAAAACCCTGCCCTCTGTTCAATATTCCGTTTCACTTGGAAATACGTCACAGCGCTGGAGAAAAATCGTTTGCAACTTCCGGTTCACGGGGACTTTAAGTGTTATGGGAATTAGTGCCCATGACAAATGTGGAACATCACCGTCTGAACTGCAGTACTTATGTTTGCCACAAGAGGGAGTACAGTGTATGATATTGTTTTCCTGGCTTAAAATTTAACATCCATGTTTATAACATACTGTCAGCCGTATTTTTCTTTTTTATCAAATGAATTCACATGACATGCTGCAGGGGTCCCAAATAGGGATGGGCAATGATTAATCGCGATTAATCGCATCCAAAATAAAAGTTTGTGTTTACATAATATATGTGTGTGTAGTGTGTATAATTAATTTGTATATATATAAATACCCACACATGCATGTATATATTTAAGAAATATTTGCATGTATATACATTATATATATATATTTATACATAATTAATATTATATAAATATTTGATAGATTAATAACACATTTTTCTCAAGAAATATTTGCATGTATATACTTTATATATATTTATACATAATTAATATTATATATAAATATTTGATATATTAATAGGCAAGGCAAGGCAAATTAATTATACACACTACACAGACATATATTATGTAAACACAAACTTTTATTTTGGATGCGATTAATCACGATTAATCATTGCCCATCCCTAGTCCCAAACTTATGGAAAAACTGGAAATATCAGTGAATCTAAAAAAAAATTCTCATGGAAATATATAAATTTATTATATTATATACATTTTGATTAATAGAGATTAATTGCATCTAGCATAAAAGATTTGTTTACATAATATACAGTATGTGTGTATATGTTATTATTATGTATGTATATATATATATAAATATGTGTGTGAGTGTTTGTGTATATATACAGAAACATATGTATGTGTCTGTGTGTGAATATACACACACACACACACACACACATACATGCTTATATAAGCTATATAAATATAACAATATATATATACACGCACACGTAAAAAAAAAAAAGATAAATGCGATTAATCGGATTAACAGCTCAATGATATAAAATGACCACCCGCCTAATATGCACTGCACACACACTCGAGGCATCCATGGAAAAGTCAATGAAGTTAATGAGAACCCTTACTTTAATTGAAATCAAATGAAGAGAATTAAAGTATTAAATAGTAGCCAACTAGTTGAGTTGTAATGAGTTATTAGTATTGAAAAACAATATATTGTAAAAGCTTTTGAAGCTATCTAGTGGCACAAACCACTGACAGACATCGTTTTGCTTATGAAAGCACTAATACAAGTTATAACAGAGCTGTGATGTTTCTTCTCAGGTCATATCCGTATATCAGACCTGGGCCTGGCTGTGCATGTACCCGATGGTCAGACAATCAAAGGCCGGGTGGGAACTGTGGGATACATGGGTATGTCTTTGCCTTATTAACCTCTAAACAATATCAGCAGCAGAAGCAACCCATGTGACCTGCATATATGTGTGTGTGTGTCCCATCAGCCCCTGAGGTGGTGAAGAACGAGCGATACACATTCAGCCCAGACTGGTGGGCTCTCGGCTGTCTCCTGTACGAGATGATCGAGGGTCAGTCGCCCTTTCAGCAGCGCAAGAAGAAAATCAAGCGAGAGGAAGTGGAGCGGCTAGTCAAAGAGGTGGAGGAGGAATATTCCAGCAAGTTCTCAGAGGACGCCAAATCACTCTGTAAAAAGGTTCGTATATCCAGTTACATATTAATTATCCAATCCAGGGATGCCTTGATGACACTCTTTCCAGAAGGAGGCCTATATCGATACTGTCAATTTTGGTACTCACTGATACCAATGCATGTATTTTTATTGCATTGTAATTTTTTTAAACATTGGGGAACCAAAAGAATATGAATCATTTTGTTTAGTATCTGTACTTCCCTAATCCAGTCCAATTATTAATTATAATTAATGTTATAGAAATTTAGTAATCCGAATAAAAGTTGCTTCCTTAAATATTTAAGTTAATTGTACTTAAAATCTTAAGTAATTTCAACTGACTTTAAAAATGTCTTTAAAAAGTAAAGCTTATTTTTAACTTAACTTAAAATTCTGTCGTCATTTACTCACCCTCATGTCGTTTCTTTCTTCTGCAGAATGTTGGTAATGTCAGTAAATTGACTTGCATTGTACATTTTGTCCATAGAGTGGACGTTAATTGGGAAGCGAAACTGTTTGGTTGGTTTTATAACAACATGAGGGTGAATCGTATCCCTTTAAGGACAGATTACATATAGCAGGGTTTCCACGAAGTCATAAAACGTCTTAAATTTTATAATAAGAATTTTAGGCCATAAAAAGTCAGGAGTTAGGAGCAAAAATCTGCCTTTAAACTTGAAAGAAATAATTATAATAATTATAGATATTGACTGATATATTATCGTGATAAATGAAACTTATAAAAAAGTCATTTCAAAGTTCAAAGGTATTTTTCGTAATTCGTGTAGGTCATATATTTATTTAAATCATAATGGTCATAAAAAGGTCTTTAAAAGTCTTAAATTTGACTGACTAATCTCTGCAGAAACCCTGATATAGTTGATACTTGATGTTGTTGTAAGAAGCTTAAATGTATTTTTTTTAATATTTAATTGTATATTAATTATTTTATTTAATTTGCTATATATTATATAGTCAAGTCAAGTCACATTTATTTATATAGCGCTTTTCACAATACAGATTGCATCAAAGCAGCTTCACACTGATAAATATTTATATACATAAATATTTTCTTTTTTGTTTTAGCTGCTACTCAAAGACCCTTGTGAGAGGCTTGGCTGTCAGGGGGGCGGAGCCTCAGAGGTCAAGGCCTACCGTATTTTCCATTCCATCAATTTCAAGCGGCTTGCGGCCGGCATGCTCGAAGCGCCCTTTATTCCGGATGTAAGTATTTTCTGAGACGTATTTTCTGAGAAGTATTTTACTGACACTTTTTTTTAAACTGTTATTGGCAATATAAGTCATAACAACTATCGTTTAAATGAATAGTTCACCCAAAACCCAATTGAGAGTTTCACCCAAAGTTCATCCATGTCAATTTCGTTTTGGCTTGGAACTCAAAAGGAGACATTTTGACTCATGTACCAGTCGCTCTTTTCCTTGCATTTGCTGTGAATGGAGCTTTCTAGCTCCAAAAAGCACACAAAAGAACCATGAAAGTATCATAAAATATATCCATATTGCTTTGTTTTATTATTATTATTCATGCATCTGCTTTGAGGAAAGAAAAGAACACAATTTTTGTGTTTTGCGAATGATTTGTTGATAAAATCAGACAATGAGACGACGTAGCGTGATGTGTTTGTGTGTTTCAGCCTCAGGCCATCTACTGTAAGGACGTGTTGGACATCGAGCAGTTCTCCACAGTGAAGGGAGTGGAGCTGGAACCCAAAGACGACTCCTTTTACTGCAAAGTATCCACTGGAAGTATTCCCATCCCCTGGCAAAACGAGGTCAGGTCACTACCCAGAATAACCTCAATAAATATTTTACTCCGAACCCTGATCGCTGCTTTATGACCAGCATGCAATAAAAAGGAAATTAACGTTGACTTTGATAGTATGCACAAACAGACTGCAATCAACACAAATCGGGGATATTTTCTCTTTAGAATAAACAAGTGATGTCGCCATTATCAAATTGACTTCCTATAAACTTTTTTTAATGGTTTTATATTTTTTTTATGTAGAATCAACTTTTAAGACAAGTTTGAAGTATTTATAAATTAACTATAGAAACATAATATATTTGTTTACATAATATATTTGTGTGTGCTGCTGTATATAATTATTTTGTATATATAAATACACACACATGCATGTATATATTTAAGAAAAAGTGTTATTCATATAAAAAATATTTATATTTATATAATATAGATTATGTATTTATAAATATATACAGAATTTAAGCGCAAATAATTATTAAATATATACATGCATGCATAGGTATTTATATATACAAAATAATTATATACAGCACACACAAATATATTATGTAAACACAGACTTTTATTTTGGATGCGATTAATCGCAATTAACTTTTGCACAGCCCTACTTTTTTATGAATAAAGGTATCTGTCATTTTAGTTTGGAGGATCGGTTTTATTTTAGTATTTATTATTTATAGTTTAGTTGTTTTTTTTTACAAATATTTCTAAATAGTTTTGGTAACAATAAGGTTCTGTTTGTTGGCATTCCTTAACTACATGATCTTAAAGAACTAGTTCAAAATATTCAAAATATCTTCTTTTGTGTTCAACAGAAGAAAGAAATTCATACAGGTTAAGAACAACTAAGGGTTTTGGAGTTTTCATTTTTAACTATTGCTTAAACACCATGTTGTAAAGCCTGTAAATACGTCATTTCAATATGTAAAAATCGTTCACGTCCTCATAGAGTTCCTAATTTGACGACTTGTAAGCTGGGAATTTTCAGAGAGATCCTACTTGTGCCACCTGACCGCTGCAAATTCATTCTTTCTTTTTTATTTATTCACTTCAAACATGTATAGGAAACAAAAAAAGAAAAAAAATTTATGACAAAAACCTAATAACAACAAATACTCCTCAAAACAGAAAGCAAAAAACAACGTAAAGTGGGAAATCAAAAAGAAAACAAAAATAATATTAATTGTTTAAGTTGTAATACGATTCATTTAGGCTTTGATATGCAGTTAACATGAACTAACTATGATAAATACTTCCAAAGCATTTGTTAATTATTTAGTTTATTTTCAGCATTTACTAATACATTATTCAAATCAAAAGTTATGTCTGTTTATATTATTTAGTGATAGCTAACTAAAAATCAACTAGCATGTATTGCTCAGTTGATGCACTAATGTTGAAGACTAATGGGATCTTATAGTAAAGATTTACCACATATTTTAGTTTTATGTCAATTTTCATTTTTCATAAGATAATACATTTTATCTTAGTATTATTTATATAATATCATAGGGTTTTGTTTATTATTAACAGTTTGAATTAGGTTTCATCTTTATATTTTATGTTTTTATTTTATTTATATTCCCAAATATTCCTAAATTTGAATTTAAAAAATATGTCTTAAATCCTGTGTGTTGTCATTTGATTGATCCATTCAGATGATCGAGACGGAGTGCTTTAAAGAACTCAACATCTTGAACTTGGATGGCACTGTGCCCCCTGACCTGGACTGGAGAGGTCAACCCTCGCCCCCACCCAAACAGGGCTTACTGCAGAGACTCTTCGGCCGCCAGGTGACATCATCACCTTCTCTATCATCTAAACACACATTATTGTTTGTTCCATTAGTGAAGGAGGTTTTCAGCCAAAGTGCTTTCCGTGTCCTGTGTTATGTTTGATCGGGGTTACATAATCAGATATCAGTGTGCAGGTTTCCCTCTCACTGCTGTATACTGTAATTAGTTAAGTATGAAATGATTCATGTAATATAGACGGATTAGATTTGGCTCTCGTCACTCTTTAATGGATATGCAAACTAAATGTAAAGCCATGTTAACATTTTCGGCACAACAAAACAAAATTACAGACGCAGCGATCGCAACGTTCTTGGCCGATTCCGCTTTATTTTTTGTAAGTGTAACCTGCCCATACTGATTTTTCTCTTTTTCTTTCTAACATGTACTTTTCTTCAGTGCAAAATTTTATTCATCATAAAAATCCACAAGTATAAAAGCAAATAGACAAATTGCTAACAAAAGCACAAATATTTGCAATAGAATAAAGAGAGATATGAAATAAACACTGCTTAGTGGGTCTAACAGTACAGTAGGTTACTATTTCGGTATGAAACACTACAGAAATTAAAGTAATCAAATGTAAAATAACTCTGGATGGTCTTCAGTGTAAAAAGAGGCGCGCCACTCATTTAGATCATGTACACACGCTTTTGGTGCGAAACCTGTGCAAATGAGTCAAATTATGTGCAATACAAGCACTATGTGCGTTAGAGGAGGCGGGTGTGTGTCAATTCGGAGAAAAGAGAGCGTGAACGCGCAACTGACGTTATTGTTGGTCAATCTTGGTAGAAACATTGTGAAATGGGTGGAATTTTTTATTTTTTTTAAATCCATTATTTACTATTAGTTAATGCCAGACTGAGACGGGTAACATTGAGGAAGAAGTGTTTTCGTTGTTGAGAGCATTTGATTGGACAAGATTTGTATATCTGATGAGGTTTTTAATCCCAGTGTATGTGTGTGCTGCCCCCGCAGGACTGCTGTGGAAACTGCAGCGACAGTGAGGAGGAGCCTACGCGGCTGTGAAGGCGTGGCCTGCCTAGGGCTCCTCCCCTACACCACTGAGGCTCTCATTTGTTTACAGTTTTTGCACATTTGTATTTTTACGATAGCTCTATATAAACATTGGAATGTATATTTTCACTATATAGCCATGCAGTGTATCTTATTTAAAGTCATTGAATTGAAAAGGACAGAAAAAGGGTCCCAATTATTGTCCTTGATCACGTGTGAAGTATGGAAAGGACCGATCGTTCAACACTGCTCGAGTCTTGTACATTTGGTAGGCATGTCGTCTCGCAGCCTCTTTGCGCTTTTCTTTTCTGTTTATTGAGTTCACACATGTACAGTATGCACTCTGAATATTTGTTTTAGACGCGGGGAGCAAAGGAAATTTGCTTTTGCAGATATTTTTATATTTATATTTTGAATTTTATTTTCTTATGGTAATCTCGACAATCAAATGGCACCATTTGTATAAAACCGTGATAAATGTGCATTAATGGATTTAAAAAAAAAAAAGCAAAAACAGGAAAGGACTTTAAAGCAGAGGGAAATTTTAAGATCATTAATTCGCTACCAGTTACTTAGCTAGAGATACCTAGTAAACCAAATAGGCGTGCATATATACGTACAATAACATGTTGTAAATACGCGACACTCATCTGTAATGTCTTCAGCGCGTCTTCCTGCTGATAATTAGGAAGAACATCCTGATTATAGTCCATAATGAGGCATTATTTTCCATTTCGCATTGCAATTTGTCAAATTCCAGCTCTGAAGACCGAACGACTTTAATACTCAAACCGACTCTCAGTTCGTCATACTAATAGAACATGTTATTTAATGTTTTTATAAGTAGATTTGCGCAATTGTATACAATTTGAATTGCTGCTTTTTTACATGTAGGTCATTTGCCAAAAAGAAATCCCCTGCGATCTCAATAAGCTCTGTGTGTTTTCAGTTGCTCGGAAATATGATGTCTTGGGAACTTTTGTTGTAAATTGAATCTCTTGATGCACTTAAGACCAAACAACTTCAAGTGTTTGTCCTCCATCTTCATTGAAGGTGCCTTTTTGAAGTTTTAAGGTACTCTTGTCATTAGGGCTGATTATTCAAATGTCTCCATTATAATATTATCGAGTTGGCTTAGCATTTTGTGCGCACACTTTCTCTTTTCTTCGCTGTTGTTTTACATCGAATATATTACCGTGCCCTGTGGATGTTCAAACTTTTTCTAAACTTGTGAAATCTTATTTTGGAGTCTCGCAAAAGGCTTTGGGACTTTATATTGAAGCCTAGCGGTCTGTAAAACGTAAGATATTTTGGAGCAAGTCTTCAAAACACACATGGCGGATCTCATTTCTCATCCTCCTGCAGTTTACTTTAATTCTCTTGGATAAACTCAAATACATTCCAGTCTCTACTGTACTGTACAGTTGTAAAAATTGATTCAGTTTGTTTTGTTGTTGTTTATTTAGCAATAATGGATTTGATGAGTATAACTATTATGTAAATGTGTATAAAATGACATTTCAAATCTAGAGCGAGACAAAACTTAGTTTGACTCAATGTTTTCCTGAGCCAGGCTTTTAACACTGTGAAGTGATCATTTCTGTCACAGTTGGAATTATTTTGTTGTTGTTTTTTTGCGAATTTATAACTATGTATGTATGTGTGCTTTAACCTGCACTGCATGTCCCATAATCCTTCTCAGAACCACTATTGGATGCCATTTTTTGCCCTAAATGAGTGAAATGTTACATTTTAGGCAAGATTTCAGTGTTTTTCTTTTCCAAGAGGAGCCTTACTGATTATAATATTGTCCATTATTAGTAATTCCAATCCTTTCAATATCATAGATTTCATGTTTTTACCTCAAGGCAGAGTGAATCTCAATTTCATACACAACAAGACTGAGAAAAGACACTGTCAAAGTGGAAACGGCACACACGTCAGTGTTATTAATCGATGCATTTTAGTTGTAAACAATAAACACAGACCCAATTATATGAACTCTGTCATATTAGTGTTTTTGAAGAGTATAAGATTATTGTATGCCTCAAAGTGCACGGTGCCATTTTAAGCATTGTTTTAATTAGCAAACAACATGCAGCCATTGACGGCTATAGAGTCAAATTAGTCACTGTATAATGTGCTCATTTGCTCTCATTATTGAAATTGTGTCTAGTTTTGCTGATAGTGACTTAAAGCAGATTTTAACATATCTGTATTATTTTAAAGCGGCACCATTTCTTTAATTTTGTCTAATATGTATGTAGAAGTCCATTGCCCTTTCATTTAAAGGGATAGTTCACTCAGAAATTAAACAAATTAATTACTCACCCTCATGTCGTTCCAAACCCGTAAGACTGAAATGCACAATTGAAGATATTTTAAATGAAATCTGAAAGATTTCTGTCCCAAGCAGTGTTGGGTGTAACTAATTACTCAGTAATTAGTTACTGTAATTTAATTACTTTTCCCTTGAAAATGTAAAGTAAGGGATTACTCTTCATTTATCTGTAATTTAATTACAGTTACTTCTGATGTAATTGAGGTAAATACCGTGTATAGATCAATCCGATCTCACAGCGATTCGTATATGCATTTTATGAGGTGTCTAAATCGTACGACCGCACTCGAACAAATTTGTATTAATTATTGTAAAATATGTATGAAAAAAGTGTGAAATGTCATGAGATCAGACACAAAAAATATTGTCTGATGTTAAAAAGTATGTTTTTATAATGTAACCTTCTCCACCTTGGTCACTTTAAGGATAATTCAAGCAATTTTATAGTATTTATTTGAAAGAATTAAAACAGATGTATATCCTTGTATTATTCAGCTGGTTGAGATTGATATGGGATTTTGAAAGTAATTAGTAATTAAAAGTAATTAAATACTTTTTAGAGAGAGTAATTAGTACAGTAATCTAATTACACTGTTGAAGAGGTAATTAGTAACTAGTAATTAATTACTTTTTTAGAGTAACTTACCCAACACTGGTCCCAAGCAACTACATTTTGACCCTCCAAAAAGTTCATAGAGATTGTAAATCAACCAAAGAGACACGATCACGTTATATAATGAACAGATTTAATGTAGGCTTATGTTCACATATCAACATCGAAGCTCAGGCGTACTTGCTTGATGATGCGCAAGATCAAACCTGATTGGTTCTTGAGGAAGCTCAAACGTGCCTCACAACAAGAATGAACCTGATTGGTTCTTGCACATCAAACGAACATGCTTGAGCTTCTGAAATAGCCTAAATTGTATCTGTTTAGCATATAAAGTGATCGTGCCTCTTCATAAAATTGGAACAAATCATTCAATACATATGAATTAGTTTTACAATCTCTTTATGAACTTTTTGAAATAGTTGGACTGTTAAAGAAGGGACAGAAATTTCTCGGATTTCATTAAATGAAGAACGAAAGCCTTACAGGCTTGGAAAGACAGAATTAAATTTTTGGGTGAACTATCCCTTTAAGGCCGGAAGAATGTGTTTGGTTGTCTTGTACCCGTTTATCCCTGTTCTTTACGCCTTATTGTTATGTGATACAAAAAAAAAGGTTCCTGGATTGCACATTGAAAACTCAATAGTTAATTCTCACTCAGGTTACTGCCATTGTTATGTATGTTTTTATTTGCTTAATATATATATATATATATATATATATACAGCCTTACTGATATAATAATGTCAAGTTACTGGTTTATAGCTGTCCAGAAAAGACATGCCATTGGGAATGTTTATAGAGTTTTCTGTAAAGTTGATGACGACAGTGAAGGAATCTGTTGTTTCTTGTCGAAGCACTGATGCTCATTCTCGGTTTAGTTTCAGCGGTGTGTCTCCGCCTGTATATTACGCACGGCCTCTCGTGCAGGTCTTCTGTGTAACAAACCCAATTTTGTTTCCTGTTTTCCTTTTTATCTGCATTAGTATTCAACTTCAATAAATTTTTATTTGGTTAAATGTTGTGTAGCTCTTAAACTCACTTATATTTGAATGCAAAAATCTATCAAAATTGACAATTCTTATTTTTTAATGGAGTATTGCAGTGTTTGTTATTTGTGCACATCATTATTTTTAAATTCATGTGCCCTCGTTATCTTTAATCAGAATAACTATTTTGCCGCGGCATCTCTTCGCTGATGATTTGTTTGGCATGAGGGCGGGACAACCTGTCACTCACATGAGATCGACCAATAGCAAACCACAATCATCTAATCAATTCCCCACGGACAAAATCAAGTGCCGCCCTACATTCTTATCTTTACCAAGACGTAGTTTTACTCAATTCCATGAGATTGTTCTCACTGCAGAACATGAAATCCACGGGGAGGAGTCGGATCCAGATCCAACTCCTCCCACCTAAACCTACCCAGCTCCACCCCCTGATCCCTAACCCCACCCCTAAACATATTTATACTAAAAGCTAAACTAATTAAGCTTTTTATCCTGGGTATATATCCTTCCAGCGCTCCCATACAGACCAGAGAGGTCAGATTCATAGACGTGTGTATTTTACAAGCTAAACGTACAATTGCTCTTAATTGGAAAAATATCAATGAGCCAACCAAGAATCGGAATGTGGATTAAAGAAATGGCGTCAAACATGTCAATGGAAAAGATAACGTACATTGTTTAAAATAAACAAAACACTTTTGATGATGTTTGGAGACCTTTTACTAATTTCTTAAGGCATAATGTCAATGTTGGAAACTTGCTACAAGAACAAGCTCTGAGAGAGTAGAGTAGCATCACGATATTCTAAATAGCCATGAGAAACACTCTCTACCTGATTTAGGTGTCTTTAAAAAAAAATTATATATATATATATATATATTTTATTACTATTTTTTTATTATTATGTTATTATTATTTATTTTTTATCTTCTTTTGGGGAGGGGTGATGGGAGGGAGAACAGGGTGAAAAGGTTTTACATGATTGATATTCATTATGTAATTTTATGTGATATGTAAACTGAAAAATTAATAAATATGAAGAGTTCAGATGCAAAAGCCTCTGAATGCCATTTGAAATTTTCTTCTAGAATGATCATTTTTATCAAGCTTGTATATTTAAGTTCAGTGATTTCACTTAAATGGCAATGAAGATTACCTATTAATTGTTATTTAAGTGAACTTACTGAACTTAAATATACAAGTTTGATAAAAATAATCATTAAAGAAGAAAATTTCAAATGGCATTTAGAGGCTTTTGCATCTGAACTCTTCATAGTAAAAAAAAAAAAAAAAGCTAAACTAACAAACATTTTGATTTCAGGGGGTCTTTAATGTTCCTGACAACCTCATTTAGACACTTGTTAGCAGCCACATTTTAAATGATTTAGAAAAATGATTACAAACATTCTTCAAAATATCTCCTTTTGTGTTTCACAGAATAGTCATGTTTGGACCCAAAAAGGGTTAAAATTATGACGCTTTTCATTTTTGAAGAACTATTCTTTCCATTCTTCAGAAATTGACAGTAGGAAACAGCTCAGACTGACGAATCAGACTCTTTAATGAGCCGCAACTGTAGACTAGAGAGTAACAGTGTCCAGATGCCACTAAATGTTTGATAGCCTTCTTAGATAAACAGCAGATGGGCTTCATCTGATCGCTCAATACCTCGTTATACAATCCTAAAGAAAGGTAATGTCACTTTTATTATGCATCACGCTAGTTTCAGTTCAACCTTGTTACACAGCTCAAATCGCGAATGGCGTTTTCTGTTAGCACGTCTCCTGTTCTCCGTGATGTTCGCTCACACCTCGCTCTCCGCTCTGTTGCTGGGCAACCGTCTTTAAGAGTGATTTAAAAGAAATAAATAATGATTCAAATAGATTCTTCTGGGTTTTTTAGCATTTGGTGAAGAGCGGAACTGAACCCATCACACACCGTCTGTGAGGTGTTGACGTCGCGTCTGGCTCGAGGGCCTTCAGTGAGAACATGTTATTGACGATGAGAGCATTGAAGAGCATTTCTACGGTACCCGACCAAGGTTTCTGGAGGGACAACTAACGAAAAAGTTTTTGCTTATGTCTATTGCACGTTTATGGGTCTAATAACGTTTGGTCGTTTCTTGTGGGTGCCCCGTCCCTGATTTCTGTTTTTCTAAACGGGCTCCAAAGTAAGACCTCATTTCTCAGTCGACTAGGGCTGGGTATTAAGACAAATTTCACAATTCGATTCGATTTCGATTCACAAGCTTGCAATTCGATTCAATTTCGATTCAATTCAATATCAATTATTTTGGATATCAGTTACAATAAATGGCCATTTTTCTCAAGGAAATCAAATCTCTGAACTAATGCTGTGAACTACGGGAGTCTAGTTGTAGCCTATAGGCATCATTAGCCTAATATGAAGGTAATAATGAACTGTTTTGTAGCTATACAAACACTTAAATTACACTTTTATTTATTTTTATAAGAGGAAGATTATATGAAATATAAACATTTAAATGGTGGCTGTCATAAAAACTTGCCATATTTATTCAAATATGCATTAAATATTGAAGAACATTAAGATTATAATGCATATGTAATATGGTGTATATATTTAGCAAAATGCTCCTCTCTGGAGTTATTTTTTCTAGCTGACTAACGAGTTTTTGTGGGTTTTCTGAGGTAAATATGACGATACATTGATTACAAGCCGTTTAACTGACGTCTTTCCACGGTTGAAACGCTGATTGAGAGAATCAATGTGACATGATCCGGATTTGGATAAGTTGTACTGTATCTTTAACACACTTTCAGATGCTCATTCATGTTTATTTGGCGCTGTGACTGGTATTATTAAGCCGGAAGAGAGATCAGCGCTGCTGCTTCTCCAGAGCGATCTCACGCCACAGCGACAAAACGCTATTTATGTTTTTGAATTTCTAAAGAAAATGGACGTAATTTGAAAATTGAGACTTTGTTTCATATCAATAGTAACAAAGGACAAAGATTATTGCGATTTTTTTAGGATGCGCGCAGCCGCGATACA